TGAAATTGTCATGACGTTAAACCAACATGACTAAAATTGCAACTTTGCCTCATTTAATTCACATGATGGATAGAATCAAGTAGGCTAGGCGCCTGCCACCGCCTAGAGCGTCTATGGGGCTTAGGGGCTAGGCGAGATCCAGAGATTAAGATCAAGTGTATTATTTTTTATTTATTTTTATAATATACAAAATAAAATTACACCATCTTATAATAAATTCAGACACTTAAATCTAAATAATAATATTAATATATTACAAAGAAAACATGATAACAAAATAAAATAATTAGTAATTAAAAATAAAACTGAAATTTGCTGCGAGACCGTTAGGCATCGCCCAACTGTCTAGTCGTCTTTGCAAATGATTTAAAATTTGCATAATATTTATTTATGGGATGCCTTGTCTAATATGCATGATAATTAATTAGTTGCTTATTTTCATAGGAATTAATTGTGTCAGCCAATTAGCTCTTTCATTTGTATGGTAATTAATTATGAAAAAATACATATTAGGAAACAAATAATGAATGTTTAAATATAAATAATTATATTTAAATAAAGTTAAAAAAAGGTTTAAAGAATAAGTTCGTCCGTGCATCGCACGTGATAAACACTAGTTCACGATAAGGAGATTAGGGTTTACAAGGTAAATAAGGTAACTAGCCTAATTAAATCAATACACAATTACAGCCTCTAAGAGCACCCACAATGTTTTGGGTCTCTTAAAGAAAAATCAAGTGCCATGTAGGAAATAGACTAAGTCTATAAAAATATGTACTCCAATGCAATAAAAAGTAGACTTGGTCTAGCTTATGTGACACTAGAAAAGGAGACCAAACCCACCCCTGGGTCTATTTTGGACCCAAGTACAAACCTACCTAGTCAGCAATTGTTCACAATTTTTTTTTTTTTTTAAATAGGCGAAACATATTATTTTGTATGCATTTATTATTATGATATTTTTATTGGTTGTTGGGTATACTAGACCTAGTACCTTTTTTTTGCATTGGATAGATTTTGGATTTTTTTAGTTTGAGTTTGTCCATGTCATTATGAACTTAAGTCTATTTATTTGCCACATATGCAGAAATAGACCCAAAGCATTGCAGACTCTAAATAATATCTACAAATATAGTAAATATATTATATACTAACATAAAATAGATGACAACTTTCATTTTCAGTGGCAATTCTCACGATTTGTGGCTATCATCTTATCGGATCAATTTTGAACAAGGAAATAACTTGATCACATTTGATGTGATTGGTCCCTACATTCTCATTATAAGAAGGGTTCCTATAAATCCACAGTTAGCATCACCATCAGTTTGTTGTAGAACTGCACATTTAATTCATACATAATGCATACTTAGTTGACATCAATTATATATTATGGTTTGTTAAATTCATACTTAAACATTTCGAAGCACTTGGCGACATACTTCTTGCCGATGCATGCGGTGATGGAGAAGGTTGGGCCTCAGGAAAATTCCGGCGACGACAACGACGACCACCACAATGAAGATGAAGATCTTATTCGCTTTGCCAACATACATTTAAGAATGTATGAACTCATATCTCTCATAAATAAGAATTTTTTGATAACTAAGTAAAATTCTGGTCATTGTTCGGCACATCTTTATCTATTTATTCTCACCTCCGTAGCCCTGAAGTATTCATTGCCTCTTTTATTTACCATGATAGGATGAGAAAACATTTCTTAACCAACCTTATTCGGTGTTTACCCACATGAATCGGGACTGAGGTTCTATGTGTCATGTATGTGGCAGGTGGACACATCTGTACTCATGACTGACAGGGTAATTCTATCACATCTTGAGGGTGAGATATTTCAACAAAAATAACCTTTTGATCCCACAGACCACATGTATAAGGTCATTTATACCTTTGAATGTCTAAATAATCACCGATTTAGTAAAGCCGACTCGGACAAAAGCTCATATGATTAAACCATCCTATCTCACCCTATCTCATCCCTCCAAGTAAACAAGTCTTTGTCATGCATTTAAAAATACTTGAAAGTTGAAACAAATCTTGAATAAACGCAAACCTTGGGTAAGATTTTTTAGCTGTCCTTGTACGAAGAAATAATTGAAGCGAGTCCCTCGCATTTTGCAGTTGGCACCTTCACCTCCCACACAACACAACAAAACAAAACCTTTGCCCGCTGCAGGTAGCCCTTGTCGTGGAGGCATGCTCGTTCGCGTCGAAAAGCGCTAGCCCGCTGCATCTGTTCGCCCTCCGGGATGAAGGGGTTGTCGTGACGCCCGTCACGGCCATCGTGCGCTTCAAAACCCTCCTCCCCGGCTCGCCGCTGTTGCAACTCGGCGAAAGGATTGACCACCGAGATGGTCTCTTCATCGTCTTCCCAGCCGTGCTGTGATCGTGGCGAGTGCGGACGGGGCGCCCCGAACGGCCCTCTTCCACCACGACCACCGCGTAACCCGCCGCGACCGCCCCGACCGATGACGTCGCGGTTCGTCTCTTCTCCGTGCATCATGGTACGAATCGCTAGTTTGATTTCCTCAATTCCCGCAGAAAGACCCTCAACCCGACGGTCTACTTGTTCGATTTGGGCACCGAGGCCCTCGGTACGCCGCTCTAAATCGTCAAGACGAGCATCGCGTCGTTTGTTGTCGTTCCTTCTTGGCGGCATCTTGAATCGCCCTGGTCTGCTGCTGATACCAACTGATGTAGAACATGAATGACGAAAGGGATAAAAGAGATACTCTCTCTCGATAAACCACACAAGAACAGATTTTTATTTCTCAATCATCAACTGATCGTATCGTACCTTCTGGCCAGGCTGCTAATAGATAGAGTTCAAGATCTCCCGCAATCCCTAACTTATCAAACAAGTAAATAAATATCTTCTAACCACCTAATCAAGATAAATAAGGAATAATAATAATAAGAATAAGAATAATAATAATGCAACGTAAATAATTAAATTAATGCCGAAAGCCAATTGTATTTGTCAAAAAAGCCATCGCGAGCTCGTCTCCATCACACCTTCTCCAATCAACACTACTAGTCGCCGTCTCCGAAAAAATGGCTGACATAATATAAAGTGGGATTTGTATGTAAAAAAAAAAAAAAAATCTGCTTTAATATGCAATTTTACCTGTTTACTTCTTTTGATCTTGAGATTTACATGAATAGGTAACCGCACTTGAACTAAATTCAAAAGAGACACAATCAAGTTCCTAACATTATTTCACAAGAAGTAAACTCAAAAGTACGTATAACAACACATACTAGATCAACACACCATATCTTCAGGCACAACAAGCTTCATATAAACATTACTCTACATTTCAACTTACTTCCCTCATATCCAACATTATCTCTCTAGCTGCACACGATGACACTCATTGGTCGTCTTCATCCACATTAAGCCAACATAGGCTTTCCACATAGGTTGTAGCATCAATCTCCGCGAACGTGTCAAAGTGATGGGGTCCCTTGTTGCCTGAATCATACAACTTCAAACTCGATCCGTAATTAATCAACATCGTTCTACCATCCTCCGACGACAATATGAATCCATGCTCCGAAGGGTCAACCGCAAAAGGCACCTCAACCACTTTAGTCCAAGATTCCCCCACACCGTATTCCTTCATCACCCACACAACATAGCCCACACGATTTACACAATAAGTGGTCAGGCAACCACCAAAAACTTCAACCTCTAATACATCAGAACCAGCACATTTACCAAGATCTTCAGGCATAGGCAGCCTAGTGAATGTCTCGGTCACGAGGTTGAGTGAGACAATATCCCGTTTAGAGGCAGACACTACAACCCGCCAGTGGATGGACCCATTCAGGAACTTGCCTGACCGGAAGCCAGTGC